ATGAGAGGCGCACGTCTGGGTGATTTCGCGCACGAGGCGGGCAAAGGGCAGCTTGCGGATCAGCAGCTCCGTCGAGCGCTGGTATTTCCGGATCTCTCTCAAGGCGACCGTGCCAGGCCTGCGGCGAGCGCGCGGCGCGGGTGAGAGGCGCGAGGAGGGAAAAAAGGGGGAGGGGGAGGGAGGGCAACGGGACATGTCCCATCGCGAATAACCGCTCCCAACGCGGCGCGCTACCATCCCCGCGTGTGCACGCCTGAAGCGGTGCGGCTTTCGCGCGGGAGGTGCGCCGTCCGCACGGCCCGCCGCCGGCTGCTGAGCGACGCTGCCCTGCCGCTGGGCTGGGCCGCCGACCCGGTGTGTGCGCCTACGCGGCGACGTCGCGGCCGGTGAGGGGCGGGAGGACCAAGCGCGATTCTGGAGCACCCGAGGACACCGAGGCATGTCAATGAGCAATTTCTGTGGTTCGCGCCAGCTCCTCCCGCCCCGGTGGAAAAAAACCACGCCCCGCCGCATGGTGGCCGCGCTGCGCCGCTCGCCGCTGGCGCGCGGTTGATCGCGGCGCCGACTCCGCGGCGGCGCCATCGCACGCAGCGGGACGCGTCGCTTCGTCGGCGCCAAAGCAGACGCGAGCTCGCGGCGCGGCCGCGGCAGCAAAAACATCAACGCCTCAACTTCTCCTTCTCTTCTCGTCTCGTCTCGTCTTGTCGCGGGCGCGCACGCGCGCGACGTGCGCTCGTGTCGCCGCGTTCGCTCCGCGAAGGACGATTCGAACCGGCAGCCAGTCGGCGCAGCGGCGGCACGCGGCGGCAAAACGCACGACGCTCACCTCATGGAGATGCTGCTGCTTTGGCACCTCCTGATATAATGCTGATTTTTTGCTGCGCGGGGCGGAGGCACGCGGGTGGCGGAGGCGGCGGCGGACGACGTCTACTACCTGGCCGTCCCCTGTGGTAGCTTAGCGATCAGGGAGGGTCTACCTGTTCGGCCTCGAGGAAGCTGCTGGGGGAGGGAGGGGGGGAAAGGCGCGCTCACGTCGTGGTGCTCGCGGCGGCGCGCGGGGCAGCTCCAACTATTGCCCCAGAAAGAAAAAGTCCTTTACTCTGCGTTGTTGAGCCAGGACTCAACATACATATACTCGTAATACTCGTTCGTTCTGTTGCCGTCCCAAACTGTCACTCCCCTCTCTCCCGGCCGGGGCGGGGCGCGCGGGGGGGGCGGCGGGTGTGCGGCGAGTGTGCGGGATGTCTGTGGGCCCAAGAGCGATATGCCATGTCCGCCTTGCGTTGTTTCATAACATCGAAGGCTAAGCTCAAAAAAAATCATTTCTCTCTGCGTTGTTGAGCCAGGGAGGACTCAACATACTCGTTCTGTTGCCGTCCCAAACTGTCACTCCCCTTTCTCCCGGCCGGGGCGGGGCGCGCGCGGGGGCGGCGGGTGTGCGGCGAGTGTGCGGGATGTCTGTGGGCCCGAGAGCGATATGCCATGTCCGCCTCTCTCTCTCTCTCTCTCTCTCTCTCTCTCTCTCTCTCTCTCTCTCTCTCTCTCTCTTGCGTTGTTTCATAACATCGAAGGCTAAGCTCAAAAAAATCAATGGGGCGTGACCTCCTGCCTCCAACCTCCTTCCTTTTTGAGCAGGTGTGACGCCGCGCGAGCGACGCTCCGAGATCGCCCGAGATAGCGCGGCGCGGCCCCGAGATCGCCCGAGATAGCGCGAGATCGCCCGAGATCGCGCGGCGCGGCCCGAGATCGCCCGAGATCGCGCGGCGCGGCCCGAGGCGAGGTGGGTGGGTTGGGAGCGAGGGGGCGGAAGTGTTCAGTGCGGTAGATGGCGAGCTCGAGGCGCGTGAGCCGGACCTGTGAGCCGGACCACCCCCTCTTGTTATCTGCGTTGTTGAGCCAGGACTCAACATACTCGGGCTTGCGAGTCCCAAACTGTCACTCCCCTTTCTCCCGGCCGGGGTGGGGCGCGCGCGGGGGCGGCGGGTGTGCGCGGGTGTGAGGGATGTCTGTGAGCCCGAGAGCGATATGCCATGTCCGCCTTGCGTTTGTTTTCGTAACATCGAAGGCTAAGCTCAAAAAATGACATGGCTATCCGACGCTCTTGCACCCTCGCGACGCTGATCCTCTGCGCCGTCGGCGAAACCGCAATCAAATCAACCGACTCGTGCAGGACGGATGCCGGCTGGGAGCTCCTCGACTCAAATCGCACGGCGTTGGCCGTCATTGACGTGCAGCAGAACTTCCTCGACAAGCTGCCGCTCGACCAGCGGGCGAGCCTCGTGGAGCGCATCGCCTTCATTATGAAGGTTGCGAAAGCGATGAAACTGCCCATCCTTGCGACGGCCGAGGACTACGCCGCTGCCGGGCAGGGAGGAAGCAACCCGCCGATGCACCCGACGCTGTCCGCACTGCTGCCCGAGGGCACGCACGTCTGGAACAAGTTGGTTTGGAATCTCTACGGGCAGCCAGACATCCGCGCTGCAGTCGACGAGGTCGCCAAGGCGCACGGCATCAATACGTTCATCTTGGTCGGCTTGGAGACGGACGTGTGCGTTGCGCAGTCGGCTCTGGGCCTCAAGGCTGGCGGCTTTCGTGTCGTCGTCGTCGAGGACGCCGTCGGCACGCCGCCGCCCCACCACGCCGCCGGCATCGTGCGGCTGCGCGACGCGGGCGTGACCGTCACCGACGCAAAGGGCTTGTACTATGAGCTCGTACGCGACATCCCGACCGTCGTGCGAGTGACCCGCGAGATTGGCGGCGCACAGGTTGTGGGCGAGGACGTGCAGCCGCTCGAGGGCTGCGCGAGCGACTACACGCTGTGAGGGCGCGGGTGGGAGGAGGACGTGGAGAGGCATTGATTCGTGTACAGTTACAGTGTGACAGTGTGTTGTGTGAGCTGTGAGCTGTGACTGGGCGAGGGGCGTTCCCGTCAGGGGTATGCGTTCTGGCGCCGCGAGGGGGTGGGGCGCGGCGGCTCGATATGGCCGGGGGGGGGGGGGGGCAACCAGTTCTCGTTTGACCGGCGTAGCGCTGGTAGCGTGCCGGCAGTCGCCGAGCAGTGTCGCTCACACAAGCCGCAGCACAAGCGACTGAGGGCCAGTGGAGGGCGCGAGCCCATCGCTGTGACAGCTGTGGCAGCCGCACAGTAGGCTGTGTCAACTGTGCAGAGTGTGAGCAGCAGAGGAGCTGCTCTCCAGGCTTCTGTCGCAAAGAGCTGCATGCCACCGAAAGCGCTGTCGAGGTTCGCCAAGCGCGGCGAAATCGGGGGACACCGTCACCGACGAGCGCGTTGGACTTTACACTCCGGAGCGACAAAGACGGGCACACAGCGGACGGTGCGGGGCGTGTGCCCGTCATAGTGGCGAGGCGCGGGACCGTCTGTGGCGAGGTGGGTCGCGTCCCCCGATTTCCGTCAACCCAGCATCCACACCCTTTATCTCCTATCTGCTAGTGTGTAGTGAGGTAACCCGCGATACTGACTCTCGCTCTAACTATCGCGCGTCGGACCTCGGGCTTCCGCCGTTGTGCGGGTTCCCGCGCCGCCCGTCGCGTGGCACCCAGCGACCCAGGGGTATCCTTCCCCCAGTGCCCACAGGGGCGGGCCACATCGTGGAAGAGCTCCAGCTGTACTTTCAACCGCGCGATGGGATCGTCTCCCTGCTCCCATACTCTAGACCATAGACAGAGCACATACCTGCGCGTAGACGCGGGGTTCGTGTGTTAGCTGCGAGGGGCCAGAGCCGCCATCCCGCACGCTCGCTATCTGCAGCACTCGTGGCCAGGGGTGGCAACTCCCCCGTCCGGCCATCAAAAGATCGATCGATCGGCATATGGCATCAAAGAAAGGCGCGGGTCTTTCATGCATGCATGCATGCATGCACCTTAACTACACGCAGGCCGAAAAAGCGCTGCCGCCAGAACGCCCCCCAACCAACGTAGTTTCAAAACGGCGGTTCGCAACTACATTTTCGCCAGTACACGCAGGCCAGAACAGCGGCGACCCCTTTCATTCGGTAAAAGCTGTATTGAAGTTGTATGACGATTTGAGACTTGTGCTCGCGACGGCGGCAACGCACTTGTGCTTGACTCAGTCTGCGACCCCTGGAGGCCATGCTCGTTGGCAAGAGGGTGGTGGCGGTCGTCGCCCTGCTGCTTGCGCAGGCGAGCACTACGCTACCATCCACGCCACCTCCTCCGCCCCTGCCCGCTCCTTCTCTCTCTTCACTCCACACGTGCGATGGGCCTCACCGTAGCAGCACTCTGCCTTGCAGGGAGCGGTGGCGACTCCTCCTGCTGCTCCGCCGGATGCGCCACCGCCGGATGCGCCACCGCCAACCGAAGCTCCTAGCTCCGCCCCTTCCTCCTCGCCGAGCTCCGCCCCCTCCTCCTCGCCGAGCTCCGCCCCCTCCTCCTCGCCGAGCTCCGCACCCTCGTCAGCACCCTCCTCCTCGCCGAGCTCCGCCCCATCCTCGTCCCCGTCATCGGCTCCCAGCTCCGCCCCCTCCTCCTCGCCGAGCTCCGCGCCCTCGTCAGCACCCTCCTCCTCGCCGAGCTCCGCACCCTCGTCAGCACCCTCCTCCTCGCCGAGCTCCGCACCCTCGTCAGCACCCTCCTCCTCGCCGAGCTCTGCCCCCTCCTCCTCGCCGAGCTCTGCCCCATCCTCGTCCCCGTCATCAGCTCCCAGCTCCGCCCCCTCCTCCTCGCCGAGCACCGCGCCCTCGTCAGCACCCTCCTCCTCGCCGAGCTCTGCCCCATCCTCGTCCCCGTCATCGGCTCCAAGCTCCGCCCCCTCCTCCTCGCCGAGCACCGCGCCCTCGTCAGCACCCTCCTCCTCGCCGAGCTCTGCCCCATCCTCGTCCCCGTCATCGGCTCCCAGCTCCGCCCCCTCCTCCTCGCCGAGCTCCGCACCCTCGTCAGCACCCTCCTCCTCGCCGAGCTCCGCCCCCTCCTCCTCGCCGAGCTCTGCGCCCTCTTCAGCACCCTCCTCCTCGCCGAGCTCCGCCCCCTCCTCCTCGCCGAGCTCTGCCCCATCCTCGTCCCCGTCATCGGCTCCCAGCTCCGCCCCCTCCTCCTCGCCGAGCTCCGCGCCCTCGTCAGCCCCCTCCTCCTCGCCGAGCACCGCGCCCTCGTCAGCACCCTCCTCCTCGCCGAGCTCTGCCCCATCCTCCTCGCCGAGCACCGCCCCATCCTCGTCC